CGCTACTCTTTTTCAAAACAATAACCAATACTCATCAATTTCTCAATACTCGGCAATTATCAATACTCATAATCAATAATAAAATCCCAATAATGCAATAATAATCCAATAATGATCTAGGAAAAATAATCCCTATCAATGTTCCAATATTCCAATACTAGAAAACAATAATAAATAATAATGCAATAATATCAAAGTTCAGTTCAAAGCGGAAGCATTTATTCAAATTAAAGACCACCACTCGCATCCCTTCTGCCGTGCCGCATAAACTAACATGTATCAATGAAGAGTAGGTGGGGATGAGCACAATAGGAAAGTCGAGGTGCTCACCGCTATGCAATAATTAATCTCAATAATCATGAAAACAATTTAAGTATGGTTGCAGCATGTATACGAATCAATAACCGTCCCATCTTCTACCAATAATCAATAATGGTCTCATGTGCACACCTATAACAATAGACTACTGCCGAGCTTTATACCGAACGCCTTCCTCGATGGCCTTACAACGAGTGCCCGGCAGGCAGGAGCAATAATCTACCCCGAATGCCAAAACTTTCATCTTGGCCTTACATACGAGGATCACCAGCCAAGGCTCACGCCCTGACTGTCAACAATAATAAAGGAGACTACCCAAAGGTACGTTCTATAGCTACGGGAATAACCGTTCGACGGCCAATATAGCTTACATCGAAGGCTACATGGTTCACATGCATACATTGATCATACTATAACAAAAACAATTAATTAAGGCATAGTAAATTTTACAATTACAACCCACCTGGAAATTTCGGTAGAAAATGGCACACAAAAGCAATCACGTAAGATGAGGCTCGACTCCTCAAACACCTACATTTAAGCGAGATAATTTATCAATAATTTATCTCACTACTAGAGTTTAACATAAAACCCATACTTAATAAAAATTATGATTTACGGGTTTTAATTGGATTTTTCGTGGACTTGGAACTCTCTCATTTTTTAAAAATATGACTCGGAGAAGTAAATTGGGGACTCAGAACTTAAAATAATTTTTCTCAATTTTTTTCTACTTTGAAAAAAATTTAAAAAAAAATAAATTCGGGTCGAAAAACGGGCCCCGAAACACAAAATTTGGCTAAAAGCTGAATTGGGTTGAATCTGCCCCGAAATTGGGCCTGGCTCCAACGAAATTGGGCCACAACAAGCAATTGGGCCGCACTTAGGGCCTGCAGGACGCGGGCCGGGACTGGGCCACCCGCGGGCCAACTGCTGAGAAGGAACTCGGGCCGCGCGGGCCGAAATGCGGGCCAAGAAGCCCGCACTGCTGAAATTGGTTTCAAATAAAAAAAAAAGGCAAGAACAAGGGCTGGGGGAGTCGAACCCTGCCCATTATAACTAGATGTCAACGGCTACACCACTGCACCACACGCTTGGATGGGATTTAATTGAAGACTTGAATGACATAAATGAAAACTAAAGCCTGGGACCTGATAAAAAAACAGAGCTGCAATTTCTCGAGCATATTGACAGAAATTTTTATCGAACTCAAACAACGACACTTCCCACATCGACCTGGTTTTGGGAAATTACAACTTTACAATTTAATACCAATCACAGAGTTCGAAATGTTCATAAAAATCAAGTTTTGGGTTGGAATACGAAACGACAATAATAGGCTCGAAATCAACGAACGACCACTCGAAAGATAACGACGAGAATCTGAATTGCTTGTAGACATCACACAACAGCAACAATACTCAATTTTTACAATGAACGAGCATTCCGAATCACACGAATAATTCACGAACGTAATTCGACAATCAAAACGATTAAACAAGCCGACAAATGAATCGAACACGAAAGCCAACGAAACAATTCAACGCGAACGAAAATGAACGAGCGATATCAATCTGTATAACAATATACGAGGAGGTTCAAAGAGATTTACCCGTCTTCGAGAATCTACGAGCTAACAGAAACACGAACGAGACGATCGGGAGCCTCGAAGCTCGAGACCTCTAGAAGCGACACAGCTCACGAACGGCTGCTGCTCTGAAATCGACGACGACGGTCAACCGCTGCGGAGGGTGTCGGCGACGGCAGGACGCTGCTCGGTGCTCGCCAGAATTAATGGCGGTTGGGCTGCTGGACGTCTCACGAATCGAGATGCTTGGAGTTTAACGGCCTTCTGCTCGATGGTGACGGTCGCCGGGAATTGTTCGAGACAGAAAGATCACCGGGGATGGTGGAGGTCGCCGGATTGCGGGCACATGAATTTTTTTTTTTTTTGTTTTTGAAACGATGAATAACAGTGATGGAAGCAGGGATTGAACTTCTGATCTCCAGGAGATGAAATACATCAAACGAACCTTATGTAGAGGAGAGAACGTGCGCACGGTCAGTTCACGAAAATCGCAACAAATTTCAAGCCGTTTGGATCTGGTACCTGGTCGTGCGCGGAAGGGAAGAGAAGGGGCAAAATATCTGATTTGGTAAAATCACTTCAAGTTTGGGCCAAGAATTGGATAAATAAATGGACCAAATAACACCTCCATTTTGGGCCAATATTAAAGCAAGAATTTGGGCCA